CCCGCTCCCCCGCCCCCTTCCCCTCCTCTTCCCCTTAAAGCGGCGATGGTTTCTTCCGAGAGGGAGAGGCGGCCCCACACTCGGTCGGGGACTTAGGGGCCTGGAGGAAGCCGGACTGGCTGCGCCCGCGCCGGAGCGTAGGAGGGGGTGGCGCAGAGCTGGAGTCTGGGGCCTGGCGGGAGGGACGCGCCCTGGGCCCTCGTGGGGGTGTCGTGGTCGCCTGGTCCCTTTGCCTAGGCAGCACCGGGTCTCCTGCAAACTTCAGACAAATTTCCACCGCTCTCCGAGCTCCGCCAGGCTAGGATCAGGCAGAGTTCCTTTGCTTTCTCAGTGTCTGTCCGGGTGATTCACGCTGCTTTATGTAAATCCCTGGGAATGTCTCCGAGCCACACAGGATGTGATTCCAGCGGAAAGAGGAACCCTCTGTAGCCAACAACTTTGAACCGACACCCCCTTTTCTGAGCACGTACACCAGCACCAATCACTATTGGCCCTCTGCCTTTCCCAAGGGACTCCCAGGGCATGAAGTTTCGCTGTGCACGTGCCCTTGAACACCTAGGCCATCTCCCATTCATTCGTGCATCCGTTCAACACAGCGATTGCCCCTCGGTTCTGGTTTTGCTCACCAGCAGCAAAATCCACAGATCCCGCTCCCATGCTGCTGGAGTTTACATTCCAGTGGGACTCTCAGGTCGCTAAGAGAGATTATAGCCATCCAACCTCGTGTTGGGGAGAGGGGAGTCAGGGACAACTTTTCGAAGGAAATGATATTGTTTTGTCCATGAGGAAACTGAGGCACGGAGAAGGAATGGGTGTTGCTCAGGATTGCACAGTTAGCAAGTGGTGAAACTAAAAGTCAAACTCGGGTCTCCTGGCTGCATGTGCTTGATTTTCCCTCCACCAAGAAAGATCAGTATTTTTTTTTTGAATCAAGTCAGCATTCTCAAGTTTGAAATTCACTGTCATGTGACCACTTTGTTCCCCAAATGTGATTTTTCAATTAAAAGGAGTTTTCAAATGAACAGGAAAAAAAAAGAAAAGAAAAAAAAAGAAAACTTCCATCCCATACTGCATTTGATTTACTGCTTTTATGGTTTAAGGGAAAAACAAATGGTGGTGGGGGGAGAGTGGGCGGGGAGGTGGTGAAGGAGCAAACAAAACAAAATGAACAACCTCTCCACCCCAACACATCTTCCAGTCACCTCTGGGTTACATTTACTAGGAAAACTCTTGGATGCCAGTCAGCCCTCTCCCTTACCTCTCTGCCTCAGAATGAGTCCCAGATCCACACTGAGATACCCAGGGTAGACACAAGTTCAGGGGCGTGGTGGAATCCACCTCCCAAACGCCAGAGTTTGAAATCTGTTTTCTTACATGGTGTATCTTTTCTCTCCTTTCATCTCCCCCATCAGGTGCATATGAAGGTTTTCAACTGGACTACCTCATCAACTGGCACTGATTATGTTTTTTTTCTCCAAAGAAAAAACGTTCTAGGGTGATAGAGCAGACACTCTTATGTTTATGGCTGAACAGAGGCATCAAAAAACCACATTTGGAGTATTCCAGCACTGACCCAGGATACGGTCAAGTGTTTTCACTGGTGTGGTTAAGTACGTATTGGCTGAACTGTTGAATCTGTTCCCAACCACATGGTGGCTTTATCATGCAATTTTATAACTCTTATCTGATAATGAGATTACTATGGCTCCCATATGGTTACATCAAAATATATTAATTCATTCAAAGGTCTTATTTTTTTGCCCTGTGCAAGCTCCTCGTCTTTCCCTAGCAGGCAGGGACTACATCTTATTAACCTTTTATTTCTTATACCACCTAACATAGTATATTACACTAAATAAGCACGCAAATTTAATTTTTTTGTCTTTTGGTTTAACTTCTACTGGGATATGTATGTATTTGAAAGGCAGCCTCTTTCAGCGTGGGCAAACTATAAGCAAGATCGCCACCTAGTGGGCATAAGTAGAGTATCATCTAATTGGAGAAAAGTATACATTTTTAACTGAATGATTAATTGTTGAAGTTAAACTCGGAAGACTATTAAATGTTTACTATGTCCCAAGCTATGTCCTAGGGGGTATGGAGAAATCCAAAGTAGTTGGGGTCTCTGTCTTTGTGGCAGCTAACAAAAGCTGTAAGTAACTACCATTGTAAACTTCCTGGGGAGCCTGTCTTGTCCATTGTTTTATGGCTGCCTGGGCACAGTGCCTGGCACTTAGTGTGTGTTCAACAACAGTTTGCTGAATACATCGTTAGAATGCTAATGAGATGAAGCTCTGCAAGTAGCATGTATCAAGTTTTTTTTTTTTTTTTTATTAAACACCTTACTACTAAAGAATACAAAATAATTTGGTCCAAGGGTTGCGGGTTATTGTTTAACTGATTAAAGAATACAGAATAAGAACTTCAATTAATTTTAAAAAGAAAAAATATCGGTGAGGGTTCTGCATAACAGATGTGAGGGGAAGCACATGATTTTAATTCTGGGAGGACTGGCTTCCAATCCAGAGACTAGAAATCCTGGAATCTCCCAATCATATGACTGGTACTGATAAAAAAACAAAAACAAAAACAAAAACAAAAACAAAAACCAGGCTTAAAGAAGTTGACTAAGACCGTACACCTCATAAGATGGACTAATTTTATCATTGAGCAGCCCTTTGCCTATAGCCATAGGACTGAATGCATCATGTACCAGAACAGGATGCATTAATTGAAACTTTAACAAATTAATTGAAATGCACAAATACAGAAAACCGAAGGAACAAACACTGCCCCTTCCTCAAAGTGGAATGCAGTTTTGGAATGGTATTTGATTATTTGAGACAGGGTTTAAAAACATGCCTCTGCTTAGCTGTTAGATGAAAATACTCCCATTCTCCTTTATTTTCTGGCCTGAGGACACTCCCCTGCCACCTGTGCCCAAACCACTTTGGCTCTATGGGGTAGCATAGTTAATCACCATGTGCAACCTCAGTCACTTCTGCCCTCTGGCAGTTGCTTGGGCAACTATCTATTTGCACCTTTATGACTTTCTTGATTCTCCTTAGAATTTATCCCTGAACCTGGACTTCCAATATCTTCAAACTTTCCCACAGTCCTGTTTGAAGAATGATCTAGTTCATGTAATGGTGCCTCCTGGGGGAAAGAGAGGAGGTGGAGTTGAGGGTTGGAAGCAGGGGAGGAGGCTTGGAGTTGGAATATTTTCCGAGTCTGGCATTAGCACTTTCTGGCTTGTTCCTTGGGCTAGTTATTTACTTTCTATGAGTTTCAGTTTCAGAACCTGAGAAATAAGTTAATAAATCCTTCCGAACTCACAGGGTTGTCATGCAGCTCAAGTGAAATATTAATAATAACCACAGCAACAGTGGGAGCAAACACTTACTGAGCTCTTATTATGGGCTTTGTGTGGAGCTAAACCCTGCATGTGCTTTATCTCATGAAATCCTCCCAACAAGTATTATTATCCCCACTTTACAGATAGGGAAGTGGAAGCTTAGCCAGTCAGTGGAATGAGGTCATGCAGCAAGGAAGTGGCAGGGCTGAGATTCCAAAATGATGGGGACCAGACCCTTTGTAAATTATAAATTGCTAGGGAAATGTCAGGTGCAGAAATTATTACATTAAATCAAAATAGATTCAACTCAGATGAAATTTTGGTTTCATCTATTCTCTGGGGTTTGTTCCCAAGTGAAATGGTTTAGAGTGTGAACTGTCAAGCCAGATTGTTTTATTTAAAACCCAGTCCTGCCACTTACCAGGCATGTGACCTTGGATAAGTCACTTAACCCCTTTGTGCCTCAGTGGATTTATCTGTAAAATGCAATAAGAATAGTATTACTAGTATTACTAACAAAAATTATAACAATATACAGTATCTAATGATTACTAGTAATTAATATGAACAAATCTTATAGATTATTGTGATGGTTAAATTAGTGCTTATATTTAAAGTGCTTAAAAGACCATCTAAGT